GTAAAATTTTCATTTTTAATTCAACCATAAACACCATTTATCCTTTTCAATCAGTCAAAAGTATGTCAGGGTAAAAATAGTTATCAGAGTACAATCCCAAAATCATAAAGTTGCGGAAATAGGGGTGGATGCACCGCGATCAAGTCGGGTCCTTCCCTTTCGAACCGGAAGTACCTGAAACCATAACCATAAAAATGTAAGCACATAACTTAACGAGTCTCCCCAAAATACCACATACCATACATATCCTTGGGCCTAGCCCTCACATTGGGCGCAACCCACAATAATGGGCCTAACCTTTCTTAACCAATGGGCCTAGCCCAACATACAATGCAAGAGTCATAAAGACAGCTAGTATCCTACATAACATACATTAGGCCTATCCTTTCCTGATCCATGGGCCCAGCCTAACATACAAATGGGCCTAGCCCAACATACCATGCAAGAGTCACCACGACAACTAGCATCTAACAGATCCTAGTGGGCCGACATTGGTGCCTTCGACCCATGGGTACAATGAGGAAGCTCACCTGAATCGCAAAGACGACCACAACTAACTGCTCTCCTACCAAAAGATGGGTGCTCGACGCCTCCTATCAATCCACACAAGGTAAGCCCTAAGTCTACCTTCTAAAAAGTAAAATTCACTAAAAGTCAACCCAAGCCAAAAGTCAACGGTCAGAGTCAAAGTCAACAACCCATAATGCCAACTATTCAGCCTCACATCGTGACTAGCCCTTGGTCACGTCGTGAGAGATCACTCGGTCCGATTCCAACTCATCTTGACTCAACTCAGCCAGCTCATACATGAAAAGTCACAGGAGCTGACCTCACGACGTGAGCATCCTTTTCTCACGTTGTGAGCATCCTTCTCTCACGTCGTGAGCCCAAGAGAGCTTAACATAAACGGGTTCATTCAATCCTCACGTCGTGAGACCTTATGTCTTACTTCGAAATCTCAGTCTGAAGCAAAAAAAATCCGACATTTAAGTCCTTAATCCATTAAGCCTTTCACTCTAACTTTCCAGAAGGTCTTATAACTACATAATACACTTGAAAGTCGATGCTTTTAAGACATATATTTCCAATACATGTCTAGATCTCATTTGGGTCACTAAATGAAGAAAAGGTCATCCAACTTTCATGCAAGGTTCCAAAACCCAACCATTCACTAGATTTGAACTTCATGACACTTTTAAGGACCTTATAACCGATAAATTTGCCAACTTTATGGTTTCCATTCATTCAAACTTGCTCAACCAAGGAGGAAAGTGGGACAAAACTTAGATCTAGCCACAAATAACACTAGAGGAAGCTTTGACACTTACAAAGGTCAAGAAACAATGTAAGGTGATGATGATAATGATTTTTTGCAAGCCTCTTCAATAGATCACCTTCTTATTCTTATTCAAACCAAGAATTGCTCCAAAATGGCCAAGAATCAAACAAAGGATGAAGACTAGGGTTTTTTTGAGGTGAAAGAGGGTTTGGAGGCTAATAATCAACCCTGAAATGTGTTTAGATGTGCTTAAATACGAAGAATCCCTAAAATATCATGGGCTTGAGTTGCATCAGTTCTGACATCGTGAGCCTCTAAGTCTTACGTCGTGATACCAATCCTGAACAAAAGTTTTCGTATTATCCCATCTCACGTCGTGAGCCTCTATGTCTCACGTTGTAAGGCTCCTTTCCTTCCAAAATCCAACCTTTTGACTCCTTGAAACCCTAATTTGATTAATCCAGGAAAACGGGTGTTATATATATATATATATATATATATATATATATATATATATATATATATATATATATATATATCTATATATATATATATATATATATATATTGAAACATCCTAAAAATCAGAGTAAAATTTTCATTTTTCAAAAACAACCCAATGACCATAATTGTTTACAAAACATTATTTCAAAAGTGATAATCAATAATAAGAGTATCCCAAAATCCAAATAACATAAAATCTGAAGGATGTGCACGATCATGCCTTCGCCTTGCCATGATCATCAGAAGTACCTGAAACAATAAACTAAAATTGTAAGCGAAAGCTTAGTGAGTTCCCCCAAAGTACCACCACACAAACATATAACTAAACATATATCGGGTTCACAACCTCCTGGTTGGATTACTCCTGACCAACCTTTCGGTTGAAATGCCTTGACCCACAACCTTTTGGTTGGCTTACTAATACATACTGGGTCCACAACCTCCCGGTTGGATTACCCCCGACCCACAACCTTCCAGTTGGAATGCCCCGGCCCATAACCTTTTGGTTGGATTGCCCCGGTCTGTTGACTGACAGCACAAAGCAGTACAGTCTCAACCCCACCATACCATGTCAACATATATATAAAAAATAACATATATCCAGCAACATATAATCATATAATCAGTCAACAGACAAACATGCAGATTTAAAGATCACTACTGTATAACAACATGCTATATACCAGGACACAGATCTAACAGATCACTACAACATAGTAACATCCTCTATACCAGGATACATAATCTAATGGACGACATTATTGCCTTCGACCCAGCTCTACTGGTAACCTATTCATTGGAACATGACCAAACTTAACTTATAATCAAAATACCTAAAATACCCTTAGGTCAAACTTGGTCAAACCCTAGTTGAAGTCGAAAAAATTCAAAAGTCAATCCGAGTCAACTCAGCAGAGTACGCTGGGCGTACCCAGCTTGTACACATGGCGTACTAGATCTTTGACCAATTACGGGTTGTTAATTACGTACGCGCAACGTACCATTTGGTACGACCAAAGTACGCGACTGCCTCTTCTCTCTTCTATTAAGAGCTTAATCCTTTAAGCTCGTTTTTGGAAATTCCAGATCTAGTCCCTAAATGATGTCCTTAACCATAAAGTTTCCAGCTTTATGATCTTGCATGGCTATTAAGTGCTCAATACCAAAACCCTAACTTCTTAACTCATTAAGACATCTTAGTTCATGCATGGAAGGAAACTAATGACCAAGATCATATGTTTATGCTTCTAAACACTCCAAAATTTCTGAAAGGGCAACTCATATGAATTAGCATAACCCATACCCATAATACTAAGCTTATGAGACCAAAATGAACACAAAACCATGACTAAACAAGATCTAAGAAGAAGTTCATCAAGATCAAAGCATTTTACTTCCAAATGGTGTCATGATGTGATTATGGATCCAAAGTGCTCCACTCTTCTAAGATGGTCTCCTATTCTTTCTTCCTCCTTCAAGATCACCAAAACACACATAAATGGTTTAAAGTTGCTCCCAAATGGATTAGGGTTTGCAAAGGGTCAAATTGGGGCTAGAGGCTGATGAAAGATAGAAGCCTTGAGAGTTAAGGATATTTGAATAGGGTCCAAACCCTAAAAATTAGGTTTGCACCCTGGTCATGTATGCCCTGCGTACGCAATGTACGCCGAGCGTATGCGTGCCCTCTCCAAAAATTACAAAAATGCCACTTGTGACCAAACTTGAAAACAATAATCAAACCAATGGTCAAAATGTAAAATACCTGAAAATCGAGATGTTATATATATATATATATATATATATATATATATATATATATATTGCATTTATTTTTCATTAAATACACAACTTTAAAATGAGTTTTGATATGTCAAATGCACGGTCAGATAAGCTAATGTGGTCTCGGGAACACGAAGGTCCGGGGGTCGCTTTAATTAGCAAGGGACCGTTCGTTGTATATATTCATGATTTTTGGTTCTTATAGTTATACTTCTTGATTTGCTGGGAAAAAATTATAATATCTTAATAATACATAAAAAATATGGTTATAATATAATTAATACATATTTAGTTTGTTATCTATAAAGCTTGAGTATTTAATTGGAATTCTTCCATTCATTATAGATAATTCAATTAAGATAAACCAGCTTTATCGATCACAAACTAAATATGTATTAATTATATTATAACATCATTATGTTATAACCCTATTTTTCATGTATTATTATGATGTTGTAATTTTTTCCAACAAATCAAAAAATATATCTGCAAGAATCAAAAACCATGAATATATACAACGAACGGTCCCTTGGTAATTAAAGTGAGTCTCGCATTTTCGTTTTCCTGATATCACATTAGCTTTATCTGACTATGTATTTCACACATCCAAACTCATTTTAAAGTTGCGTATTTTTAATGAAAAATATGGTTATAATATAAGTAATACATATTTATACGTAACATTATGGTTTGAATGTAAAAAACCTTATATTTATTTAAAAAAATATTGTTTTTAAGTGAAAAAAATATTTATACGGTTTCAAATGAAGAATGATAAATATTGAATAAAATTGAAAAAAATGATATTCAATTAGGAACAAAAATGGAGTGTCAAAATTTAAATAAATAAATAAATAAATAAAAATTAGTGTCGAAATTGAAAAAAGTGAAAATTTAGTGTCTTTTTAAAAATTTAGTTTTTCAATTTTGACACGTTAGCATGCAATTACAGAATGTCACGTCATCAAAAACTGACATGTAATCATGTCACGTCAGCAGACAACCGGATTGACCGATTAAGTGATCAAAATTGTAAAAAACTGAAAACTAGGTGTCTAATTTGTGACGAAAAATAACAAAATGTTAAAATCGAATTTTTGTGTAAAGTTAGTGACTTTTGTGATATTACTTTTGTATAATACATAAATCATGAGAGAAAAAAATTCATTATATGATCAAAAAAAATCAATTAAACTTCTTTTAGTAAGAGATATAAGGTGTAATATTACTACAATTTTTATAATTATATCTAATATTATTTTATAAAATTTAATAAAAGACAAAATAATTCGCTAAAAGTAAAAAAGTTAGTGATTTTGATCTGTCATTTTAAAATCGCAATGCGTTGATTGTTTTTTTCATTTTTGCCATTTTCCATGTTCCATCAAAATCAGACGGCCGTTAACTTTTTAACTTTCTTTCTCACGTATTGCGGGAGATGTCTATAAATGAAGCCGTTACATTGTGTCTGCGCCTTTGATACTCCCACTTCGTCTCTTTCTCTCCCATCTCCTACACACATTCCACCTTCTTCCTCCACTTTCAGATCCAAAAACACACACAGACTGTGTGAGGATTTCATAATTCAACTCAGAACGGAGGAAGGACACTGTGTGTATCGGCAATGGAGGCGCCTAAAAACCCGATCTCTCTGTGGTCCTTTCTGTTACCAATGCTGTTGCTTGTTGGAGTCGTTGCAGCTCTTGGCAACACCTCAAAACCTAGGTCTCTATTTCTGAATGATCATTGTTTGTTCTGTTTTAAAGCATTTCAAAAAACTTATGCAAAATTTCAGCTCAATCATGCTTATTTCTGTGCTTTCTTCTGTTTTCTTGATCTACATTACATATTCCCGACTTTGAATTTCTTCAACGATTGAATTGTCTACGAAAAGTGACATTGCTAACATGAAATTAGAGGAAGCAGGCTCAAATTCGTTGTTTATGTTACAGGAATATCGAGATAGAAGAGTTGCCGAGCTTCAACGACTCATCAATGGCTGCTAGGTAATTAATACACATCACCGAGTCGACTCGGTTATCGAACTTTACAGTTTACTAGTACTTCTTTTCTTTTTATCGCAACCGTTGATCTTCATCTTTTAGGGAGATCCACAATCGTTTAACATAACTAAATCTCAGCCGTTGAGATACCAAGTTTATTCTGATCTTACCGTTTATTTACGGTTGTTCATGTCATATCCAGATTTCTACCCCTTTCCTTACACTACGTCGTTCTATTCAATATAGGTAGTCCCGTCATTTCACACACATTCTAGTAATATTTTTTCTGTTACACGAAGCCGTTTGGAGTGACGGTTTTAAACGTAACAAACGACGTCGTCTTTCTCTCTCACGCAAAAACACACATTGCACATTCACTCGTTAATTAACGGTGTTTAAAGTTTAAACGGCTACTGAGTGTGCATTGTACTTGTGTCTCCGTTTCTTTTTTTCGTATTCAATTCGCTTGCGTGCTATTAATTGATGCATGTCGGTTGTTCGCTATCTACATTCTTCTACAATGATTTTTCATTACTCCTTTTATCTTTGGTGTTATACGTTAATTTTGATTCAATCATTTTAGGGTTCTAAATTTGGTCATCAATTGATATATCTGTTGATGCAGAATCAAGAAAATTGAAACTTTGAACGAAAAGGCAGTTCAAAATCCGGAGGAGGTAGTCGCCATGGTTGAAATGTACGAATCTCTATCTCCCTTTCTTCAAAACTTATATGTTTTGAAGTATTACTACTATTAATTATTGGAATTGAAAGGTTCTGGTAATAGCATTAATTGTGTTTGTTCAAAATTATGTTTGTTGTGGACATCACATATCTAACCCGTAAAACCTTTTTTTTTCTCTTTGTTTTCCTGATATTCACTACTCATTGTCTCGCATTTAATAATCCTTTGAGACAATTTTCTTTCATATATATAATTTTTTTTGGAAATTTCCTTTATTGTTGAAATTTAATAAATCAAGCACCATGTGCTCCTGCTATTTACAGTAACAGGACCCTAATTAGATCATACACTGTGTCCTCCCACATGGGTCTTGCATTCATACCACCAAATGAAAAAAGAGATATTTCTCATAATTCGTTAATATAACATAATATAAAAGTGTAAATTACATTTTTAGTCATTATAGGTAACGCTTTTGGTCCTTGTTCGAAAAAATTAGACTATTTTGGTCACCTTGAATGTAGTTGAATTTTGCAATTTTGGTCCTAGATAGCCATTTACTTGGAATATGAATAAAAAACGATATAAAAACCTTAGATAATGACCAAAATTTAAAGAAAAGAATTTGGGACCAGAATTGGAAATTTGAACGATAATCAAGGACTAAAATTATAATTTACTCAATCTAAAATTTGGGTATTAAATAAGCTTGGATCTTTTGGGGGCAGCCATAATGTTAAAACATCTTTAGGGCCCCTTAAAAACATGAGCCTTTACTATAAGAGCCTCAATAAATGTCAATGTTGGATTGTATTTAGAAACCATTATTGGAAGAGTTAAATTAGTGCTTCTGTCAATGGTGGTCTACCATATAGCTCTACTTTTATTTGCATTATTATCATAAGTTCTAATGTGACCATGTCTCCCAAATTTTAATTCTAATATGGATATCTGTTCATGTGCAATCAAGAAGCAAAAAATTTGGTTTTCTTTAATTACATTATTCATCAGAAAAAAATCTATTTTTCACATGTGGCACCATTAATCCCTAACCTAGGCTAGTTGTTGAGAATTAAAGTCATCAATAATTTCCTTTTCTCAACCTCTAAGCCTCTTGGTTACACACGAAATGCTCAAATTATACGTATTGCATATGGTGTATAGTGTATTGTGACTTAAATTGATGTCAATAAAACAAAAATTATAATTTTATATCCCATTTAAAAATATGGAACGAGATAGCACTACAACTGGCTCTCGGTTTCTCATATAAAAGAGGCTCTCGGTTTCTCATATAAAAGACGTGAATACACTTGTTGTCTTCATTGACTGATTATTCAAAATTAAGGCCATCTCAATAATTTGCTTACTCAAACTTAATGATTAAGGGGTTGTTTATTTTTGACTTAATGGGTTAAGGATTTCATTTCTATAACTATTCATGTTTACTTTCTCGATATTTACTTTGGATAAAATGATTCAATGGGTTAAATCAAAAAACATGTCTTAATGTATTAAGACACTAATCAACTTGTCTATTTGTCCTTTTTTCCCTCAAACAAGTAAACATTACGAAATTTGATTTTTTTGTAATGTAAGATTAATTCGTGTAGTCTCGTTCAAATAATTCATTAAAATCAGATCTTATATAACATCATTATCCACCACTTTATCCATATACAGCTTAACGAAAAAAAACAAAAAAAGAAAAAAGCCTTTGTTCCATCGAGACGAATCCATATAAGTCAAATACACAGTCCAAAGGATACCTATTTGGTTGTTGGCCATTAATATATATAGCCAAGGGTACGTGGGACACAAAGTTAAAGGCCACCGACAGACTACATAAATATAAATAGCTCAATAGCTCAAATCTTTTTACTTCTGTGGTGCACAACCCATAACTATTGAAATTATTGCACAATAACACAACTTCAACATTATCACAACAATAATACCAAAACCTAACATTTTTTTTACCATAATAATTCACAAACAGGAGCATCAAAAACAACACAAATAGAAGAAAACTAGGGTACTTTTCATGCGGAACCGGTAACCCCATCGACGACTGCTGGCGGTGTGACCGTAACTGGCAACGTAACCGCAAGCGACTCGCAGACTGCGGTATCGGTTTCGGCCGTAACGCAATTGGCGGTCGTGACGGCCGTTACTACGTTGTGACAGACTCCAGTGACAATGACCCAATCAACCCACGACCTGGCACCCTGCGCCACGCTGTCATCCAAGATGCGCCACTTTGGATCGTTTTTAAACGTGACATGGTGATTAAGTTGAAACAAGAACTTATTATGAATAGTTTTAAGACGATTGATGCTCGTGGAGTTAACGTGCATATTGCGAATGGAGCTTGTCTTACGATACAGTTCGTTACAAATATTATTGTTCATGGGTTGCATATACATGACTGTCGACCGACTGGGAACGCGTTGGTTAGAAGCTCGCCTGAGCATTATGGATGGCGGACTATGGCGGATGGTGATGCGATATCGATATTTGGTTCGAGTCATATTTGGATTGATCATAATTCGTTGTCGAACTGTGCGGATGGACTTGTGGATGCGGTTATGGGTTCTACTGCTATCACGATTTCGAATAATTACTTCACTCATCATAACGAGGTTCGTTAATCTTGATATCACAATAAAGAAATACAACAGTCTCAGCATCTACAGTGTGAGAGTTTTAATTTCAACATGGAAAATCTAATGTATATAATTTTACAATTAAATAGGTGATATTTGTTGGGACATAGTGACTCATATTATAGAGACAAGCTAATGCAAGTGACTATTGCCTACAATCATTTTGGAGAAGGTCTTATTCAAAGAATGCCAAGGTACCAAATACTCATGGATTTTATGCACAAAAGAAGGATGTAATGTAGAAAATGATAATAAAAATCGCTTTTTGTGTGATTTATAATTTTATACTATTTTTTTTTTTTATAAATAAATTACAGATGTAGACATGGGTATTTCCATGTGGTGAACAATGACTATACCCATTGGGAGATGTATGCTATCGGTGGAAGTGCCGGCCCTACCATCAATAGCCAAGGCAATAGATTCATGGCCCCTGCAAATCCTTTTGCAAAGGAGGTAATAATAATAGTATATCATAACAAATGTAACTATAAATTCGTTTATTTTAAAATGTGAGTTTTTGTGAAATAAACTATAAACGTATTTCATCTTATAAAGGGGATACTGGATTATTTTTTCAAGCTTATCATAGTCATAGATATAGTGATATACCCAACAAGTCAATTTCTATTTTTATAATTTTGACTTCCATTTTAAATTTTGTTCCAAATTTATTCAAAACTTATTTTTATTCAAATTACATATTTACAACTACTTTTAAAATTTTTTAATACTTTTCTAAAACTTAATTTACAACTATTTTTTTTATAACTTCTTAGTTTTTTTATTCAACTTTATTCACAACTTTTTACAAATTTTATTAAAAAACATGTAGAAATGTTTTAAAAAAGTTGTTAAAGATATTAAATAAAACTTTAAAAGGAGTTGTAAGATTTGAAAAGAACTAATTTTTTTGACAAGTTTGTAAAAAAAATAAATTGAACCATCCATAACAAATTTTAAAACTTTGTACAAAATTATAAAAATGAAAGTTGACGTGTTGTATTTGGTGTAGAAGGTGGAAAGCATGAAAAATAGCTCATTAAACTTTCATTTGACCGTTAACACTGTTTTTTGAAACAAATGCTTTCTAATTTATTTATGTTGCCAGCAAACCTTAAAAATATTATAAATTATAATTATAAAATAGATAATATATACTTCTGATTTTCTTTCTCTCGACATGCTATATATACAGAGGTTATTTCAAAATTATATTTTTCGCATATGTTTTAATTTTTTTTTACGGAATTAGTCTAAACTATAAATTTTGTTACAAATATAATAAAAGAGTTTTTTTTTACTAATTCGTCAAAAAAATTTATAGATTTACTTTTTTTTTTTAAGAATTTTTTACAACTTTTTTATAATCCTTTTTTGAAAAAAAAAATATAAGATTATTTTTACAACTTTTTTGGTAATCTTCTTTAAACCTTTTTAAGAGTTTGTTTACAATTCTTTTATAACATTTTAAAAACAATTTTAAAATGATTTTTTATATTTGTACACAACATATTTTATGACTCGTTTTACTTATCTTTTTATAACTTTTTTTGAGCGAAAGCATGTGTAAAAGTTGTAAAACAAATATCAAAAATTTATTAAAAAAATATAAAAAGTTTTAAAAAAGTTATAAAACACTTTAATTCCAAAGTACGAACCAAAAGAAATCTGAATCTTCAAATATAGCGAAAAAACCTATCCCGTATTTGAAGTGATTGTGTTGGTCCTTTTGAAAAAAAAAAGTTATAGAACATTGTCCGCTTTACTTAATTAATAAAACGCGTTTCGTTTTTCCGTTTAAATACAACTTTTGTTCTATCCTACTATGATTTAAGTCTAGAACTATTTATAGGTAGTCCTTACATTGTAGCTTCCTAACATTTTTGGTCCCAGAAATGTCTAATTTAACATCCTTTATGTTGAATTTTTTGACGAGTTATTCTTATTCGTCCATATTCGTTTACTATGAATTTTTATAGAGTAGGAGAAAAAAAAACGTCCGTTCTTAAAAGGGGCCGAAGAAAATCAAGAGTATAGTTGTCATTTTTCAAAACTTAAACGGCAATCCTGTTAACCTACATGCCAAAGGGACCATTTATACAAACAAATACACATATAAACTGAACCCATTACTTTTTGAAAAATACAAGGACTAAAGTTGTAATTTAGTATTTGATTTGACATGACAATTTTAGGTTACGAAAAGGGTGGAAACAGACCCAAGACATTGGCACGGATGGAACTGGAGATCGGAGGGTGACCTACTTCTTAACGGCGCTTATTTCGTCCCATCCGGCGCCGGAGCCTCCGCAAGCTACGCCCGGGCGTCAAGTTTGGGTGCCAAGTCATCTTCCATGGTCGCAACCATCACCTCCGGTGCCGGAGCTCTTAATTGCCGCAGAGGCGGCCAGTGTTAATAGGCAATCTCAGCCGTCGATCCATTTGGTAATTAAAGACCCATTTTCTTTTTTCCCATTGTTTCTACTGTCAAATATATTTATACGTATAGATTCCGTATCCACATATGCTTCCATATATATATTTATGAACATTTTATACAATGTTTTTTTGGATAATTTCTTTCATCCCACTGTCGTCTCCACAACAAGGTCGACTAAGCTTCATTGAACAGAAAGTATAAATTCTCCGATTGTTGCTTTTTAGGAGCAAGGCGCGATCGATGCCTTTTGATTTTTTTTTGACATTGTGATCGAATGATCCACTGTTTTTATGATTATCGTGTTATTGCATATGTTGTATAGGATTACTGGATTGGATCCATATATTTTATTGTGGAATTCTAGTTTATTGAATCAAATAAATGTAATGTGAAATAAAATGTAAAACTATTGGTATATATGTCTCATTGGTGCACTCATCTTCTTCTTATTTACTTTACGCGTTGAGCGGCTTTTTGTTCATAGTTCAAAACAAGCAAACACTAAACTTGCCACAAACACGTTGATTGTATTTTAAAAGGTAAAATACTTTTAGTTTTTTCTATTTATGCTGATTTAGATCACAAGTCTTTTTTCATATATTTATACAAAAAGTCTTTCATATAAAACATTGTTTGTTTTTTATTGTTAATCTTTTTGAAAATGACCAAACTTTACTTTTATATATAGGGAAATTGTCAGAAAAGTCTCAATATTTTCAGGAAAGTTACACTTTAGTCCCAAGATTTTTTTTTTTAACATAAAAGTCCCGATTATTTCATTTTGGCTCAAGTTTACAAAAAAATCATTTTTTTTTCTTTTAACATGAAATGATATATTATCGTGTTTTTACAAATAGTCGGGACTTTTATGTTCAAAAAAAAAACTTGGGACTAAAATGTAACTTTCCTGAAAATATTTGGACTTTTCTAACAATTTCCCTTATATATTATATATAGATATATATATATATATATATATATATATATATATATATATATAGTTCATTTGAGACCATGCGAATTTTGTTTAGACCGTGAGACCGAATCTAAAAATAATTTTAAAAGGCAAAATAAAGGAAAAATCCAAATTCTTTTTTTAATTATTATTTTTCGTCACTTTAATTACCTAAAAAAATGAAAAAGAAAAATGATTACCGTTTTTTTTTTGAAAAATACGTGGACATATTCTAATAGAATATTATACTGTAAATATTCTAATGTGCTTTTTTAGATGTTTAGAACTATTCTACTAGATTTGTCAGATATCTAAAATATTCTAATATTCTACTAGAATGTGTAAAAAAAATGTATTTTTTATTTTATTTTTTTAATTTTTTTTTTGGAAAATATAAATAACGAAAATAATATTTGAATTTTTTTTTTGCGAAAATTTTCAAATCCTTTTTCATTTTAAAAATGGTTTTTTTCTCAACACACATAAGTGATGAGGAGTGCGGCTTACGGTCTCACAAAAAGGCCGGCTCACATTAACCTAACCCTTATAATAAGATATAGATATATATATATATATATAATATAGATATAATATAAGGTTGAAATCGATTGAGAACTCAAGTTCCCGAGAACCCGAGACTAAAAGTGGAGCGGGGGATCGAAATTAATTCTTAAGGACATGATCGTCATCTTACCAATCTTATTTAATGTTTAATTTTTTTTTTGTTATTGGAAAGATTAATAAAAGTTCTAAAAATTAACATAATAAATCAAATTTCATATTTAAAAAAAATAATAAATTTTCGTTTTTTTTTTAAACTAGATTTTTTTTAATTTTTTCAAAAAAAATGATTTTTTTAAACTGCAATTTTTTTTAAAAAAACTGTATTTTTTTTCAAAAAAACTGCAATTTAAAAAAAAAAAGCAATTTTTCCAAAAAAAAAAAACTGCATTTTTTTTTCAAAAACAAAATTTGAAATTTTTTCAAAAAAACTGCATTTTTTCAAACAAAAAAACTGCAATTATTTTAAGAAAAAACTGCAATTTAAAAAAAACTGCAATTTTTTCCAAAAAAAAACTGCATTTTTTTAAAAAAAGTAAATTTTTAAAAATCAGTATATTTAAAAAAAACTATAATATTTAAAAAAAAAACTCTAATTTTTTAGAAAAAAAATCAACGTTTTAGGTGCATATATGCGTATTTTTTCAAATGCATATATGAATATTTCTTATACAATAATATTCGCAAGTAAATCATAAAAAATCTCAATTTTTTTAATCAATCTATAAACATAATAATACAAGTATTTTATTCAATACAAAATAAAATATAAACAAAACTACAACAATTCACAATACTATCATTTCTTCATATCAAGATTTTCATATTTTCTCCAATTTATCACTTTTTACCTCTCAATATTGCCACAAATTCTTCAAATTCTACAGAAAAAATTAAAAAAAAATGATTAATGCAAGAACACTCACAAAAATATACATGTATATATCATGTAAAATTCACATGAGATTATATCATGTGATTGTATAATGTGATATTCACGTATGATTGTATCTTGTAAGATTAAAATGTGAAATTATATCATGTGATTATATCATGTAAGATTCACATGAGATTATATCATGTGATTATATAATGTGTATCTTTTAACTATCATTTGATTGTATCTTTTAAGATTCACATGAGATTATATCATGAGATTATATCATGTGATTATATAATGTGATATTACCATGTGATTCATATGTGAATTACATGTGATTTACATGTGAATCACATGTAATTCATATGTGAATTATAAATTACATGTTATTTACATATTAATCACATGTAATTCATATGTTTTTCACTCGTGATTTACATGTGAATCATATGTAATTCATATGTGAATTACATGTTATTTACATGTTAATCACATTTAATTCATATGTGTTTCACTCATGATTTACATGTGAATCACATCTGATTCATATGTAAATTACATGTGATTTACATGTGAATTACATGTAATTCATATGTGAATTACATGTGAATCACATGTAATTCATATGTGTTTCACTCGTGATTTATATGTGAATCACAAGTGATTCATATGTGAATTACATGTGATTTACACGTGAATCGCATGTACCATATGTAAATTACATGTTATTTACATGTGAATCGCATGTAATTCATATGTGAATTACATGTTATTTACATGTGAATCGCATGTAATTCATGTGTTTCACTCGTGATTTACATGTGATTCATGTGTGAATTACATGTAATTTACATGTAATTCCTATGTGATTCACTTGTGATTTACATGTGAATCACATATCATTCATATATGATTTACATGTGATTAATATGTGAATCACATGAGATTTACATGTGAATCACATATGATCTACATGTGAATCACATGTGAATCACATATGATCTACATGTGAATCACATATAATTCACATGTAGATATATGAATCACATCCAAATTAATACAATGAATATGCAGACAATGCATTAAGCACATCATTTGTCCCACCTCCAATTACATTTCCTTGTTTTGTTATGAATGCTTACTTTTTCAATCGCTTCTTGTTAGTTTTAGTAAGGGGCATCAAATTGGTTTGACTAGTCAAACCATTTGATGCAAGAATCCTAGCATTCTGCATTATGTATTCGGCTGAATTGTTCTTGATGGAAGTCCAGCTATCTTTTGATTTGTATGGATTCTCTTCTATGAATCCCTTCAAATCATTCGGTGTTGGTAGAGCACCTGGATCATGAAGCAAATAAAATTTCTATATCAAAACAACAAATTAAATACCAGAACTTTTTAGTTTCTCATATAGGAACCTTATTACTTACCCCAGGCTAAATCTGTTTCCATGGCAGGTAACTTTGGGGATGAAAGAGGTGAATGTATGGACAATTTTAATTGTTGAAACTCGTCATATGATAATGGGATGTCCATAATGTTCTGGAAAGATTAGATTACATCAGCATAATCCAAAATGCAAAGTTTGCAAACTAGCACTGATGAAGTGAATGATCCTTCAAAGCACTGATGAAGTGAAAGATATACCTTGATATCATAAAAGGGACTATTCCATAGAGATACTTTAGGGCTCTTTATGTCACCCAAGTTCTCTTTAACCTTCTCAATTACCAACTGTAAGTCATATTCCACCTCTTCTTGTGTGTAAATGTTTGCAACTCTGACCTGTTTCAACCCTAGGTGATGAATTGATTATGAGTGGTTGGGTAATGAAAGCTGCCCCTTAGAGTTCAAACCCAAAAAAATCATATCAAGCAAACCTTAAGGTAACAACCTCTTTTACAAGATCTTGGATTACAGATTCTGTCCTCCTGAACCTGATCATCAGATCAGATCCCTGATCCTTCAATGACTTTCTCAGATCTTTCGCAGCAAAGAGGAGCAGCTCAAGCTTTTCCTCAGTGAAGTCTGCAGTTGGTAAAAAGAGAACCAATGCATCAAAATATTAGGTATAATACTATCATACAATATCTATCCACTTGTGAGCTGCCTTCTTCTAAATCACATAACTTAAGCTTCAAGTTTGAACTTAAATTAATTATATTTCCATTTCATTTCTTTATTAGGATTATGAGGCCAGGAGATACATTGATCAGCCAGTTGAAGTTCCTGTAAGTTGATTATTTGTTCTATATATTATGTTGTTTGTGCTTATTATGGGATTTACACATTTTTATTATGCTGTCAACATAGTCGAACCACAACAGAGGAGTACTTGATGAAGCTGGATGAAGCACTTGAGGTAATTAAGTTTTTTTTTAAGTATGAAAATCACTTGAGGTAATCACCACTTTCTATTCTTGAAATCGAATGAATAAGTATCTTAATCAGCAATTTGCAGAGGCATAGAAACACAATAGTTCAAATCAAACGGACTAACTAAAACCTATCACTTTGGCATTGGGCTTAATGATGAACAAAATTTGATTGAATATATACAGAGGAGGCATTAAGATGTACCTTAGAAGACTAATTTGAGTCTAGATTAACACATCTCACCAATCGAAAAAGGAACTCGTCTGTCAGGGGATCGTGAGAACCACCGGTAAAATCTTCTCCGGTCCAAAAATACAGTTTCAGTGATTGAAAAAGTGATGAAGATACTAGAGATGGTGTCGACATGTACCGAAGGACGGACGACGATTTCTGAAGACGAGAACTGTGTAACGGCGGTCGTACACCGACTGATGAAAGTATCACCGGCGGTGACAGATCACGGAATCGGAGTGATCCGGAGCTCGTGTTACATGTCAAGAGATTGAATGGATCAGGAATCTGCAATGAGGAA